GTATCTTCCAAGCCTTTGCTCTCGCTCACCCAGGCTGTCTCGAAGAGCGCTCCCTCGGTAGGAGTACGTCTCTCTCGTGCCTTTGGTGTCGAACCTCGTCCAGTCCTCGCAAGTCGTCAGCGTTTTCCGACCCCAGTGGCTCGGGGTCGGAGGTGGCCATTGTAAATAGCTCGGGCGAGGCACCGTTTCCCCCTCTGCTCCCGTCGCAGGCACCAAGATAGGCGCTGTAGTGACCAGTGGGGCCACAGAGGTGACCGGGACGTCGAACAAGTCCCCCTCTGTTGTAGGTACCGTGGTAGGCACCGTGGTAGGTACATTCCCCTCGGTCCCGCTCATGATGTCGATCAGATTCGGGACGATTGGGAAAGAGGATTCCTAACAAAATGTTGAATCTCCAATGACTCCAAAATAAATCCACGTTTAAAGGTTAAAGCAAGATTTATTCCAAAGCGTTTGAAAGAAGCAGGAACAAGAGAATTGTTAGGAATGGGCTCATGCCCCAGAGGGTAACATAATAAAAGAACTTTGAACTAAGTTATAACCAATAGATCCCTTTCCTGCCGGCGCGAATAAGGAAGGCACTGACAGGTACTTACATGGGAATGTAACGGTTTGCCGTTCTCAAAACAGACCCTTAGTTCACAGGCGAAAGACACTACTAACGAGCCAGCAGATAACAGAGTTTCACTTTCCCACACCAGCTGGATAACCTTGAGCTGTTCCAGGCACCTACAATACAAGAATGTGAAGAATACAACAGAATGCAAGGGGGGGGGAAGGGAACACACTCAGGGAACCAGAACACATAATGGCAGCTTGCTGACAGCAAGAAGAACATCAATTTCTTCAGGGATTGCCAAATGTATGCATCTGGCACCATTCTTTAAGGCACATACAGCTGTAAGAGGAGGTTGGTCAGGTGTGCAAAGGAGGAGGAGAAAAGTAATAAAAAATAAAATAGCCAGGAGATCCTAAGATTGTGTGGCAGCCTAACATTCTAGCTCTTTTAGCATTATGCACCACTAGGTGGCAAGCTGGTGTCAGAACCCACAGCTAACAACGAAGTACACGCATTCAGGAATGGTTATACTTTTATTGCAAAGCTATAGATGCAGTAACACAGGCACTGTTTAAAATGGTCACAGCCACTAGAGCATAATAGGATATAGGGTATTCGTATGCACCCCCCCATTGCATTGGCCAATTAGGGACCCTCCTCGCATGGGACAAGTCAGGCAACCGTTAGGTGGCTACATCTGAGAACCAGGAGTCTCTCACGGTACATAGGAGCCCTCCAGACAACACAACCTCCTCCCGCACATCTGTAGAGATAAGCGTTTCAGCAAAGGCATAGCAGCAGGGATAGGAATGCAAGAACAATTAACAAGACACAGAATGAACTCCCCAACCCCCATGGCAGCATAGCTGACAGCTGGAGGAGGAGGAGGCGGCGGCGGCAGCTGATGCAATGTGGGGAATTTAGGGCCTTAGCAGAGTGTTTGGAGCTTTCAGCAACTTTTTTTTGCAGTGGCCTGATTCAGATCAGACTCTGGCAGTTTAGCCCAGTGGGGAAAAGGGTGGCTCCCTTGGACCATCATCTCAAGTTGGGAGAATGGCACAGGGAAAGTCTTAAAACCTTCTCTCTGTGTGGTGTGGCTTTTGATCTAAATTGGGTTTTGAACTAAATCAAAAGCTCTGAACTTTGATCTCCCAGCACACATCTGGTAAGGCCCCGAGTCCTTGGCTTGGCTGGCAAAGGCTCTATGGCTGACCATGACTGCAGGATTGCAGCACAGTCCTCAGCAGAATCCCAGCTCTCATTATTTTGCTCCAATCTCTGCCTATAAAAGCCAGAAAATGCTAAGTGGGTGCCATAATGCAGGTCAGTTACATGACTTACACATTCCACAGAGATTCCTGTGGGACTCTGGTTTGACTTGCTGTTTTGAATTCTGCATAGTGGTCAGCTGGTCTCCGGGCTGCCATCTGACTTACTGTGCTTTGGGGGCAATTTTTAGATGTCTCCAGTGGTTATTACTTTGGTATCTGATGGGAGTCGGTGTCTTCTGGTACGGCAAGCATCATTTCCTAAAGGGATGTACACGGCTCTGTCTGGCTTCTGTGATATGGGTAAGGAAGCATGTTGATTCCATTTGATATAGATGTGGATGCACAATTTAATTATGTGCCACAGAGTAGTGTGTGTGTGGTGCTCACTCAGCACTAGGAATATTCTGTGAGTTGTGGGAGGTGGAACTGGCATGCTTATGGCATCACGTGTGATTGCCAAAATTTATGAACACTGCAGATGTCAAGGAACTGTTCATGGACATATTGCACTTATTTTCAAAGTCATCTCAAATATGGATACAATTGAGTAAATTCTTAAAATACCTTGATAGATTATAATGTTGCATATGGAAGAGGAAGGGAGATGACTGTGGAATGAAACAGGAATTGTATATGTGCAAAACATGTGATTTATCATTATTTAGGCATTTATTTTAAAATCTTTTGGGGTTGTAACATGTTCCCCCATGTAGAAGACCGATGCTGAGGCATGCTTATGCAGATCTGTAGTTCACCTGGGGCATTGCTTTTAGAAATGCATATCAGTTCCACCAAGGGAAATTGGATTTCCAGAGGAATTTTCATTTCTTCTGTATTTACATGGAGGAGAGCATCTTTTTAAAAAGTTAAAATGATCAGCAATCCACTCCTTGTCTGTGTAATCCCATGTCAGCATATTTTTGTCATTTGGTGTTGATGTGCTGCTATAGGTACATCATTTGTACCCTACCTTTCTCCACAGTGGGGGTCCAAAGCAGCTTACATCACATTCCTCCTCCATTTTCTCCTCACAACAGCCCTGTGAGGTATGTTAGGTTGATAGTGTATGACCTGCCGTAGGCCATCTAGCAGCTGTCTGTGACAAGAGTAGAGATTTGAACCTGGGCCTTCTGGATCCTAGTCTTGACATTCAACCACTACACCTTGCTGGCTCTCAGATTAGTTAGGGGTCTTTTCCGCATTTTTCTTTTTGTTGCTTATATGCCTGTATTGCTTCTCCCCCCCCCCCATGTGTTTTGCTCCCCCTAGTCGTCGCTTCGATATTACATCAGTGTATCTCTGGGGTATTTCCCAGATAGAGCACTGTAATATCAAAGTGACTACTAGAGGGAGCAAAGCACACGTGGAACAGAAAAGAAAGCAATACAGGCACACAAGTGCCGAAAGGAAGAGTGTGTGAAAACTCATAGATTAGTTGAAAATTAAGATTAGATTTAGTGGAAAACATCTGATGGGGAGAAATGGAGACCTTCTAATGAATTGTGCGGAGCCAGCCTCAGAAGGAATAATCTGCTTGTCTGTACGATCCACATCACCAGAACAGTTTTTATGATGATGTCCCAGTAAACTGGCAATCAGGGAACAAAATAAGGTTCTGTACTTGACATTAGCACTTTAAAAGGGATGTCAAGCCCAGCGTTCTGTTCCTAGGTGAGAGTCTGGAAGAGACGGTCAGACGGGAAGTGGCTGAAGAGGTGGGATTAGAAGTCGAGTCTCTCTGGTATTCTGCTTCTCAGCACTGGCCATTCCCAAACAGCTCCTTAATGATAGGCTGTCATGCCACGGTGTGCCCACAGAAGAGCAAGGTAAGAAGCGGGGCTGGGGGTGGTGAATTGTGCTTGATTTGGCGACTACTGGATTTCCATTGACTTGTTTTATCTGCAACAGGGGTCCCCAACCTTTTTGAGCCTGTGGGCACCTTAGGGATTCTGACATGGTGTGGTGGGCGCAGTCACAAAATGGCTGCCGCAGGAGGCGCAGACAGCACTGCAGCATACGTGCAGCCACACAGTGAGGATCCTTGCACTATGCTGGCAGCTGTTGCCAAAGCAATGCTTTTATAAATCTGTTCGGCCAGTCAGAAGCCTTGCTGGGCAGAAGCCCCACCTGGCTCCGTTCACTTTCTGAAAACACTTGGTGCCAGGAAAGGTGTTTGAGGGTGACACGGTACCCGCAGGCACCCTGTTGGGAACTCCTGATCTAGAACAATTGTCTTTCACAAGTAAGTTTCATTAATCTTCTTGTACGCAAGACTGAGAGTTGTGTTCTGGGTAAACTGAGCTTCATCTCCTAATCCTACTGTGTTCTCCACCTAGCCATTTCAGAGTCCTCGTGGTAAAGAGGCTGGGGAGCAGTGTTCCCTCTAAGCGGAGTTAGTGTGAGCTAGCTCACAGTTTTTTAGCCTCTGACTCACACATTTTTGTCTTAGCTCAGGGAGGATGGCTCCAGAACAAACTAATTTATGCAGTCGCCAAATCGCTCACTCACAACTTTAATGCCAGTAGCTCACAAAGTAGAATTTTTGCTCACAGGACTCCACAGCTTAGAGGGAGCATTGCTGGGGAGTACATTTTCTTGTTTACGTAGCCACAAGACTTGATGCTTGCGCAATGCTGGAACGTTACTTTTTGGCCTCAAGTGTGCCTCTTTCTAGGCTTTCACACAGCCTGCCAGTATTTTATTTACTTAGACTCCACTCTTCCAATTTTATCCTCACAACAACACCCCTGTGAGGTAGGCTGAGAAAGCGACTGGCCCAAAGTCAGTGAATACGACCAATAGGAATGGCCATTAATGGTTCACAGCTTGCTGATTTTTCATCTAAAAGCGCATTGTGAAATGTCATTTAAACTGCATTGGAGTGTGGCTCAAAGGAAAGGATTTGTTTTTCTATTTGGGAGAGAGAGAAGCGTTGTTAGTTTTTAGAGCTGGCCACCAAGAAGCTGTTTTGGGGAGGTTGTAAAGGGTGGTGGTCTTGCTTGGTGGACTAATGTTACTTTTAGAGTAGCCCTTCTTTGCTGGCATACGACTTCCTTTCCCATGGGCTTTCTCTGTATAATTGCAAAGAAATAAATATTACAAAACCACTGCAGCTTTCCCATCCTCTTGCAAAGCTGTTTCCGGGGTGGGGGTGGGGGTGGGAATCTAGGAGAAATACTGTGAAAGAGGAAACTAACTCACAGATTATTAGTGGGGGGGGAATGACAAAAATATTGTTTTAACTGTGGGGAACGATAGGAGTATTAAATATTTAAAACATTTATAATTGTTAACTTTCCATTATTTCCAAAACGACTTCAAGCTGCAGACAGCCGTACTTGAATCTAGATTGTGGATGGGATTTGCACAATAATCCAACATTGCCCACTAAACTAAGTCCATGGGCTCACTCCGAGGGTGACCTGTTTAAGTCCTAGGCTCCTTGACAGTTATATTTGTGGTGAAATGGGTGTCCTATGAAGTCTCTATTTTCGACTGACTTATAAACTAAAGACCACATGGTAGTTGTTCCCAACTATGTAGCCAACCACCCTGACCTGGTAGTCCAGGCTAGCCCGATCATACCGGGTCTTGGAAGCTGAGCAGGGTTGGCCCTGGCCACTATTTGAATGGGAGACCTCCAAGGAATACCAGAGTTGTGACCCAGAGGCACCTAATGGCAAACGGCCTCGGAATGTCTCTTGCCTTGAAAACCTCACCCTTAAGTCAGCTGTGACTTAATGGCACTTCCCACCACCACCAAATCATGAATAGTTTATTCTTGTAATACACCTAGTGACCAGCAAGTGTTCACATTAAGAAAAATGACTGACATGCAAAATTTTAAGGGCATGCTGATTTTTATTTGTTCCTCCCTTTTGATGAAGACTCCCACTACGTTGTTCCTGATGGTCTGCTGACAAAATGGGGGGGTGGGATTGTGCAGGCTCAGTGGGCTTCAGTGGGGAGTAGAAATCAGCAAAAATTGCTGCCCCCTCTGAACAGCATGGTTGGATACAAGCCAGTGTTCACATAGTGAGTTTGGGTTGTTCAAAGTGCTGCATAATCTCCAGTCATCTTTATGGCAGCTTGGTAAGACACATTAGTATTGTTATCTTACATTGCTGTTTGGGAGAATAGGACACCTGGTGAATTTTGGGGACTTGCAGTCTTAAGATTGCCTTTTTATCTTAACCACAGCACTAGATTGGTGTTCATTATGACACTCCTTGGGAGCCAGTTTGGTGTAGTGGTTAAATGCATGGACTCTAATCTGGGAGAACCGGGTTTGATTCTCCACGCCTCCGCTTGCAGCGGCTGGATGACCTTGGGCAAGCCATAGGTCTGTCAGAGCTGTTCTCTCAAGGACAGTTCTGGAAAGAGCTCTCTCAGCCCCACCTACCTCACAAGGTGTCTGTTGTGGGGAGGGAAAGGGAAAGGAGCTTGTAAGCTGCTCTGACACTCTTGAGTGAAGGGCAGGGTATAAATCCAATCTCCTCCTCCTCCTTCGGGCTGGCTTTACATCTTTCCTTTTCCAGATCAGTATCAACAGACAGGAACTAGAAGCTGCCAATTGGTTCAGCCTTGAGGAGGTGGAGCAAGCCCTTGGAAGGGCACCAAATCCTTCCCAAGAGGAGGAGGACGACCTCTCCTTTTGGGTGCCGCCTAAGCAAGCCATCGCCCACAGGTTGATTCAGGAGTGGGTGAAGAAGCAGGCTGTCATACCTGCTTAGAAGCAATGAGAAATCAGCCTTTGTTTCCGGTAAGCTGTTGGAGTCCAGTAGTTATTGTAACGGTGGCATCCTGAAGTAGCACTCAATGTATATTTTTTATTCCAGGACTTTTGTTGCAGGAAGAAGGTACACCCTTTGGCCTGAGCTCTGGAACAGTGGTTCCCAACCTTTGAGCTGGGGACCGTGGAGTTCTTGCAAGGATTCTGCAAATCCATGCAGCTTGGGCAGCTTTCCACCTTCCCCCACCTGTGTCTCCCCTACCCACTCCCAAGCTTGTCTCCAGAGCAGCCAGGTCTCATCCAGCTCTGTGTAAGGCCAGCTGCTGGATGGGCTTCATCTTCTAGCCAGCTTGCTGCAGTGTGGCCATGCCTCCCCAACTGGGTCCACCTGCTCCGAGCCCCTGTAGGTGACACCAGGCCAGCCTCAGCTGTAGGCCCCCCCCCCAAGGGTGCCGTAGCCCAGGAGGCTGCTTCCCTATCTGCAAGGAGAACCACTCCTTGTGAGAGGCCTGAGTCAGTGCACATATCTGCTCCCATCACCCACCAACTCCCATCTCCAGTGACAAGCTAAAAATGCCCATGCCTTGAACAGAGGGGTGGGCTGTGGACCTTTAAGGAGCTGCTGTTGGGGCTGGTGGCTTCCTTCTGGGACTGTTTGTTGGCTTCACTGGCCCTTTCCATATCTTCGCCAGGCTGGGAAGGTCCAGAGCTGCATAAGGCAGCCACTGGGGCCAGGAGTTTCACTGAGACCCAGCATCTCCCTCTTGACCAATCCAGGGCAGCCTAGTAAGTGTGGAGGGGGAGGAGTTACCCCTGGGCACGGAGTGTCGTGTGTCATCCCACCTTTAGAAATTGATACCAACGGTTAGGGAGGGTGCTCTTTATAATGTACCAGTTGGATGAAGGTGGGAGCTGTGGGAAAGACCTGCAGCTCAACACAGGTGCCCAGAGGTCTGACAGCATGTTCTGGAGATGAGGTCCCCCTGCTTCCAACCCCAGAGCCATCAGCAGTCACGCATCCCTTCACCGTGTCTGGATCCAGAGCAATTGAGAATTCTCACCACAAGGAACATTTTCTATTGCCATTTAATCCTTATTTGTGTTTGATTCTGGGAGCTCTTCTGGGAGCCAACGTACTACTAAAAAGCTGGGTTAAGGTCAAGATAAGTAAGCACCCACCAGTTATTCTGTCAAGTGCTGAAGGCCCGTTGTGGATTTTGGATTTGCTGCACTTGCTGCATTGAAACCTGAATACCAAAATAAGCTGGATGTCGACCCAGATCTAAGGCTGAAACATTAATTGCTTCAACCAGACTTCTAGTCTCTGAAATCAGCACCAGCCATCTTGTTAAATTACTTGGTATAAAAAATAAGCAAACATACCTTCTGTAGAATGAATAAGTACTGTCTCACACAAATGTATTGTGATTACTATTAATTCATTTAAAAGCGTTATTAAATTCATGGTAGCTTTTTGAATTCATGGTAGCTTTTTGTCATTATGTATTTTCTCAGCCAACAGATTATAATAGTATGTGAGAGTCCATGCAATTTTTTTCTTCATTTAAAGTTTTTTATTAATTTCCATAAGAAAGGGTAAGGTAGGGATGGGACAAGGTGTGGGTTATGACATTTGGGAAACAGTAGAGCACAGAGACTCTCTCTAGCAATTTAAGCCACTTAATTCAAATTCTACAAATAGACATACATCTTTCCTTTGTTTAACACATGTTTTCTAATTGTCATTATGATTTATGCTTTCAGAGTCTCTCTTGTCTCTTGCTTGGGTCCACGTATAAAGTGGTTTTCATACCGCTTTCAGCTTTCAATCATCATAATCTTTTATTCTTTCTGATAAAATGTCCATTTCAGCTACTTCTAAAATCTTTTCAATCAGCTCATCTGTTGACACCTGGTTCACTTTCCAATATTTCGCATACAAAATTCTTGCTGCTGTCATCACATGTATAATTATATGTTTTTGTTTCTTATCTAAACATTCCGGTAATATATTTAACAAAAAGAGTTCAGGTTTGTATGGCACATCTGACTTCAGTATTTTCTGCAACCACTCATAATCTTTTTCCAATACTCCTTTGCTAATACACAAGTCCACCACATATGGTAAGAACTACCCTCTTTATCATGAGATTTCCAGCATTTAATAGGCATTCCTTTAGTCATCTGTGATCATTCTTCTGGGGTTGTATACCATCTATAAAACATTTTATAAATGTTCTCTTTAAACTTAACTGATTTAGTAATTTTTATATTATTTTTCCATATTTGAGTCCACGCATCAGTCTCAATACTATAACCAAAGTTTTGCATCTACTAAACCATTGAATCTTTTATCACTTAAACTTCTAATTTCAATTGCATAAGTAATTCATACATTTTCTTAATCAACTTATTTGTTTCTAGCAATAATTTATCAAAACTAGTTTGTTGTAGGTAAAAACCCTGGGGTTTGTCTTTTGCATATCTAGATTCCAGCTGCATTCTCATCCACCAATTTAGGGTAAGGCCCCGAAGTTTCAATTCTTTATCTGATTTTAAAGTAGCATCTGGCCTCAAAAGGTCTTCAGATTTGGGCAAACTGGCACAGTGTGCAGGCAAGGGGTATGTAAAAGCTTCAGTCAGGGAGACCCATCTTGGGATCTTCTCATGTATCTGCCATCGAATTTTTTTCCACACAGCCAACAAATATTTTCGGGTAAGATGGTTTGAAATATACTTATGCTCTTTCACCTTTTGATACCACAAATATGCATGCCAGACAAGTTTTAGGTCATGCAAACAAAATAGAGAGATCACGGGATGGAATTTGAAAGGAAGCAAACAACCGTGATGTACAGTGCCCCCCAAAAAGGCTCTTCACCAACTTGTAAATTCTTTTTTCAATATCCAGTTTACTGGAAGCAATTCAAATGCCATCAACACCAATGAACCATGCATATTACATCTCATTTCGGGTATACCTTTATCAAAGTGGGTAATGTTGAAATACCTATATAATGTTAATCTATTTGGCAAACACTCTAGTCATATCTCATAGTCACATTCATCAAATCCATTAGTGTGATGTAAATTCTATTTTAAGCCATCTATTTTAGGCTTTCTATTTTAAGCAATCTTTCATTGTTGAGCGTCATCCATTCCTTAATCCAGACTAGAATACATGCCTTGTAGTAAGACCCCTAGTCAGGGAGGCCAAAACTTGCTTTATTTTTAAAATCTTGCATCGCTTTCAAGTGTATTCTAGGTTTTTTGCCTTGCCAAATAAACGTCATCACCACCTTGTTCAGTTCTTTGAAAAAGGACTGTTTTAATACTACTGGTATTGTTTGAAATAGAAACAAAATTCTAGGAAGTATATTCATCTTAATCACAGCTATCCTGCCCATCAAAGAAAGCTGTAATTTATCCCATTTTTCCAGATCTTTCTGTATTTCCCTGAGGAGTCTCAAATAGTTGTCTTCCATTAGCATACTGGCTTTATTTGACATGAGGATGCCTAAATATTTAACTCACTTTTCTTGCTTAAATTGCGTCTTCTCCAGAAGGTCTTGCAGATAATTTTAGTTTTATCCCAATTAACTTTTAAACTTGCAACTTCACCGTATTCTTTCCAAATGGTAATTAAATGATCAATTGATTCCATTGGTTCTTCTAATATAAGCACCAAATCATCTGCAAACGCTTGTATCTTATGTCAGTCCTCTTATCCGGTCATTATTTCTTACTATTTCGTTCATTATTTCCAAAGTCAATATAAATAATAATGGTGAAAGGGGTCATCCTTGCCTTGTCCCCTTCTCAATCCTAATATCATTTGTCAGGTTGCCATTAATTCTTATCCTCGCTTTTTGTTTGTTATAAATCACTCTTATCATTCTTTCAGATTATTCACTTACTTTCATCTCCTTGAGGTACTGTAACAGGAAACACCAACTAACATTATCGAAGGCCTTTTCAGCGTCCAAAAAAATCAACACCATTTACTTCTCCATGTGTTTCATAGTACATTCATAATCATTCTCACATTATTTCTCATGTATTGTCTTGGCAGAAAACCAGAGTGATCTTGATGTATAATCTGAACCAATATTTTAACAGTGCAAACAAATATGCGAAAGTTTCAATGCATCCAGAATTGCAGTAGCAAAGTCTATCCACATATACTATGTTATTATATCTTCCATGCAAGATTGCTGATGGTATTACATTGAATCTTGCTCGAGAAAAGGCTCTGCGCTGTTGCAGTGCTTGTATACCAGATAGATATGGGGCCATTCAGCCTACCGTAAGGGGCATCTCAAAATTCAGGGGGGAACAAGATTTGTTGGCTAAGCCGTAAAGCCTTTGTGTGTCAGTATTGAGGACTCTACGTTTAATCATCTGAAAAGTGCCTATAAAAGGGAGCATAAACAATGAGTCCAGTGGGATACCCATGGCAGTTATTTTATTCTCAATGTATGATAGCCATTTAGACATATTTGACTCTGTGAGCATTTGTTGTATAAGGCTCCCTTGGTCTACATTGTAATGTAGATGCAGCCAATAATTTAACTGTCGTAAGCCACGCACCAGATTCCACAGAATTTAACCCAGTTTCTAAGCATAGAGCTGCATAAGGTACACAGCGCAGCATTCCCATGATCTTTCAGAGAAGTTTAGATTGAACACATTCGATAGTGCCATTAAGTGCGCTTATCCATATTGGAATACCATACATGAGTTGTGGAATTACTTTGGCTTTGAAGACTTTTAATGCAGCTGGTATGAATTGATTGCCTCTGGTGTAGAAAAATCGGGAGATGGCGGAAGCATTGACATTAGCCTTATTTATTACTCAGTTTCATTGCACGGACCAAGATGCGTTATACTGAAAGTGTAAACCCTAAAAGTATCTAAAATTTTTGACTTGTTCAATTGGTTTGTCTCCAATTGTCCATTTGAATAGTTTCCAAGTTTTGGAAAAGATAAATATTTTTGATTTTTCATGATTTAGAAGTAATTTATTTCTTATAAAATATGAAAGGCATCTCTTTAGTAAACACCTTAAACCAACTTTGGAGCAGGACAGTAGTACCATGTCGTCTGCATAGAATAGTAGAGGGACATGGACAGAACCCAATTTAGGAGCATGGCCATCAACAGCTTCAAGGTAAGGGGAGAGATCATTTAAGAACAAGCTGAAAAGAAAGGGTGCTAATATACAACCTTGTTTGACTCCTTTATTGAACGGGATTTTTGAAGTTATTTTCCCTGACAGTGAACATTTAATTTGGCATTTTGTAGAAGTATATAGTTTTTTTATAAGAATAATGAGTCTCTTATCTATATTTAGTTGTAGTAGTTTGGCCCATAGCAGTTCCCTGTCAAATGAATCAAATCCCCCTTTAAGATCTATGAAGGCAGCGTATAATTTTGTCTTGCTTCTTTTTATATACTTGTTAATCAAATGGTCTAGTACTATACAATGGTCTAAAGTGGTTTTCCCTTTACAGAATCCCAGCTGTTCCAGACCTAAGATTCTCTGTCATCCATATGGTAAGCTTAGATAGTAAATGTTTGGCATACAGTTTTCCCATTACAGAAAGCAGACTGATTTGTCTATAATTGGAAGGATTAAAGCATTCACCTTTTTTTGTAGATTGGAACCACGATTGCCTTTAGCCATGCATCAGGGATGAAGCCAGATTTATCAACCATGGTAATTACAAGCAAGAGAAAGATTGTTTTATTGTTAAAAAAACTGAAAACTGAAAGTGCTTGTTACACAAACTTGGGCAGTTGCTGAGCCTGATGTGAAAGGTTGCTGAACAAGGGAGACGAAGGGAGTTTAAAGTTATAAACCCCTCTGGAAGGCTTACATGATAAGGAACAATAAACTGCTGGGCCTGTGATCTGAAGACGCTGCAGACAATGAAGAACAACAAAAACAAAAGCAAGAAAAAGGCTAGAAACAATTCAAATGCTGACTCTTCGCCAACTCCTTATTACAAATCTTCAAAACAACTCAGTATAGATGACCTGTTAAACGTTGGAAACATAAGTGAACTCTTCCCTCTTAGTGAAAATAGATTCAGCCTGTTGGAGCAGCTAGGAGATATAAACTCTCCAAATTTCTCTGCTGAAGAGCAAGAGAAGCCTTCGGATAGTAAAGAAGGAGAGGCTTTTTCTATCAGCATAGAGCCCTTCTCGGATTCCTGCTCTCCTAATCTTCCAACTGTGGAGAGTTTGGAAGGACTCTCGAGCCAACCTAGCTAAAATGATAGGTACCTTCTTACAGCAGAGACAGTCATAGCTATATTCCAGCAGCTCAACAAACTATCCAGTGAAATGGATATGCTGGAAGAGCTGTTAAGGAGAAAAGCAGAAGGGTCCGTGGCTGGGGCAATCTCATCCAGAGAGGTCTGTGCGTGGAAGAGAGGTCAACTCCTCTTCAATACAAAAAAGAGATCTTAATGTTGTTAATGACTGTCATCCAAATCTGAGTACAGAAACTATAGGAATGGTCAACAAGGATGGGAGCCTGCAATGGAGAAATAACCAAGTTGCATTGGAAATAGCGCAGATGCTGTTGAATAGAGACCGCTGGAGAAACAAACAGGAAATTATATATTCATTAAGCCGCCTCCTTCGGCTAGAAGCCAACAAGATCAATCTTGAGTCCCATGAGAGACTTCCAAATACCTTCCAAAAATGGAGGCAGGTACTGATGTTCCAGCAAACTACCATCCCACGGATGCTACATAAAATGCAAGGTTTTCTAGCCACTTTTGGTATATGTTCAACCAGAGTCTTTCAGGATGAATACAAGAGACTGTGCAAAATAATGCCAAAGATGCCAGAAGTAGGTCTCTTGCTTTAGATCAGGAGCAGCCGAGAAAAGGGTGTGGTTCTGGAAAAAACGCCAAGCATCCTGCAAATGAAGTCCTTCCACAATCCACTCAGTGTGATGGGGATCCTTATCCAGCTGCTTCAGCCTATAATGAATCTTCCAAGGAAATAAAATCTCCTGGAAAAGGCACAGCACCAGCATGCAATTACCCTAGATCACTTGTACGTCAGGAAGGAGCAGTCTACGAGGAGGAACTAGACTTGAGGTCTAATAAAGTTATTTCACTTTCACAATGCAGGTCCTGGAACAACAAATTCCTTGCTACAGAAATTGCAGAAGCAGAATATAATTTATTACATGGGCCTGCATTCTCCTCCTCAGCTCCCTTACTAACTCCTTCCTTAGAAATGGATTTTATGGAGGTGGAACGGAATCATCCACACCAGACGACACCACTTTCTCTCCCACTGTCTTCATCTCAGACATCCTTTATTCTATCATCTGGGAAGAACGTCCACATACACAGTTCTGGGGACAAACAAGGAATGACATCTGCTAATGCAGGGAAGTCATTGGAAAAGATCCTGGAAATATTAACCCAAGTTGAAATACATATACCCCTTCCAGAGACTGAGAATCACCCAATGTGCAGAAATGAAGAAACTAATCGATTAAACATCCAACAAACAACACAGGATGCTAATGGCTGTATATACCATGATGCCAACAATTAATTAGAGATATTGACTATGGCAGATTGACGTAGGAATTCTCCTCCAGCCTCTCTCCTGGAATGTGGTGGGCTGGAGGAATAAAGCTAGGGATGATGATTTTTTAAGTTACCTAAATGATTTTGATATTATACTTCCCCAGGAGACCTGGTCCCCAAATCAAATACAGATGGAGGGCTATAAATCTTTTTCTCTCCCTGGGTATAGGATTAATTCTAAGGGTTGCTTTCAAGTGGGTTTGCCTCTGTTTGTCTCTTTATATTTAAAAGTAGAAACTGTTACATTACAACTGGATAGCCCCAGTGAGCAAACTATTAAGCTTATTTTGATTATTGTGATCATATATGTGTCCAGTTCCTTAGACAGACTAACTCTTTCCCAACATTGGAAATGATTAACATCTCTGCTAGAAAGATTAGAAGAAGAACATCCCTTGGCTGAAATAATCATGGCAAGCGAGTTTAATACTAGAGTAGTCAACGATCATAAAATTTTCTCTAAGGCTTCAGAAATTAATCAGGATGATACACTTCCACCTATTTTTACTCCTACAAGGTATTCCAAAGATTGCCACATAAACTCGGCAGGTATCTATCTCGCCAAACTTTGTCTTCAATTTAATAAAGTTTGGCTCAATGGGCTTATCAACTTTCCCAAATCTGGAGAATATACATTTGTTTCAACAAAAGGCTCCAGTGTAATTGACTGTTTTATAGTCTCCTCTTCATTGGAATCTCATGTTTCAGACTTCGCTGTCGGCGACTATGTAATTAGTGATCATCTTCCACTTATTTTAACTCTTAATGTCAGCCCTTTTACTAGAACCCAAGGTTATTTTCAACACCATCCTGATAATCTCTATCTACTGCCTAAGATATTATGGAATGTTAGTTCTATGGAAAAAACTCAACAACTACTACCAGTTTGGTGTAGTGGTTAAGTGTGCAGACTCTAATCTGGGAGAACTGGGTTTGATTCCTCACTGCTTCACTTGCACCTGCTGGATGACCTTGGGCAAGCCATAGTTCTGGCACAGCTGTTCTTGAAAAAGAGCAGTTTCTGTCAGAGCTCTCTCAGTCCCACCTACCTCACAGGGTGTCTGTTGTGGGGAGGGGAAGGGAAAGGAGTTTGTAAGCTGCTCTGAGACTTCTTTGGGTAGTGAAGGGCGGGGTATAAATCCAATCTCCTCTTCTAATTAAATCAAAACTATTTCTAAAGTATATATCCTTTTTAATCAGTGCAAAAGAACATTCATCAATAATCTCAGCCTATAATGCTTTAACCTCTCACATATCTATATCACTGGGCAAAAAACTTCTGAGTAGAAATAGGGGGAGCAGTAAACCAACAAGTGTATGGTTCAATAGAGAATGTAGATATTTAAAAACCAATTACGCAATGTTTTTAGATAATACCTTGAGTCTGCCAACCCATATTTTTAAACTTAAGAGGCAGCTACAACAGAGTATGAAGAGAAGAAAGAGTGAATATATTAATACACAATGGGAACAATTATACCAGGCCACGACTATCAACAATAGACAAGCTCTGTTAAATCCCAAGCTCAATTAGCAAATCAAAACCTGGTCACTCTCACTCAATTCATTCCAAAGTGCCGATCTCCTCTTCTTCAAAGTGTCTCTGTAGGTCTGCTGTCTGGGGCATTCACTGCTTGGTGCCAGAAAAATGGCTCCCTTTGCAATTCTCGCCAGGCAGAAAGTTTGAGAGCACAGATCGAAGCTGCCGCCTGAGTCAGCATCCTCTCCTTGTGCCTGCAGCTTCTGGGATCGCCCCTCCTGACAATACAGTGAGTCTGGTGGTCTCCAGACCCTCTGAACCACTAGGTTCTCCCCCCCCCCCGTGAGCAGGTAGCCCTAGAAGCAGCCGACACTCATAGCGCCAAAGCCCTGCCCTCCCATGCAATTGTTTTGACATTTAAAAAGGGGACCTCATACTCGGATACTTCAGGAACCACTGCTCTAGAATTCACTGTTGGAATACATCCTGGAAGAGGATGTTACCTGGGTTGTGGCTCGCACAGGGGCATGCTGTTGACTGAGGAATGGTCTGATAGCAAGGGTAACAAGGAATTTGATCGAATCAAAGACCATCAGACTTGTCCCAAGGCAATGAGAGTACATCTAAAGACAAAGACTGTATTGCTTCAACCCATCCTCTTAGCTACCAGCATCAGAAAGCTTCTGCCAGTTCTCAGTCCTGTTGAAGCATTTGGACCAATCAGGACTTGGGTTGCTATGAATTTGTGGGCCTATCCTGCAAGATATCTGGGACTACAGTCTGCTGTAAACATTTCACAACGTTCAGGATTGTTTCATTTACTTGGTTGATTATGCCCAAAGGACAGCCATGTCAGTCTCTTTCAGCACAAATGGAGTTTTGTGGGACATTAAAAACTAACATGAAAGCTGACAGCGAATGCGGATGCGATGGTTCCCAGTTTATCAGAGAGCCTGCCATTGAAGCGAAGGGGTTCTGCTTGACTGCTGCAGATGAAGTTGTTCTGCTGTGCTGGTCACAATTGGAGTGGCTCCTCCCACTCCACCCCCCCAGCAGCCTCCTGTTCCCTCTGTCACACCAGTTCCTCGTGGCCAGATAAGAACCAGTTTCGGTTGACACCCCTAATTGCCACAAAGCCAAACCAAACTCTCACAGCCCCACCTTCTGGCAACTACCTGTGAGTGGAATCTTTGGGATGCAATTTCTCCTTTGTATTTCTGATAGGGGAGCTAGAAAGATACCATAGTCAATATTATCAAAAGCCACTGACAGGTCCAGAGAAATTAAAAGGGCCCCGCTCTTTCTAGTGGGCAACAGGGTAACCAAGGCAGCTTCAGATTCCAGAGTGTGCCTCCTGCTAGGTTGAAGTGGGTCTAGGTCATCCTTGGGGATGGGTTGCCATCTGCTTGCAATGACAGTAAGGGCTGTGCTTTGCTGAATGGCAGGAACAAAAGGAAGTGGAAGGGGACAACCTGTCATCTTTCCCGTTGAATAGTCTCTGATCCAGGGGTCATTTCCTGCAGGAGCAGGGCTCCGGCAGTAAAGACCCCAGGGGGTGGGCGCATGCAATAAGCCCCACACCCTGCTCCCAGCAGCCCTCAGTCAGAGCAAGTAGCAGCCAGGTAAGTTGCAGAGCCCGCCCTCCCGGTCCAAAACAGTCCAGTGGCACCTTTAAGACCAAATTTTATTCAGGTACAAGCTCTCCCTCCTCTGCATGTTCCCCCCCCCCAATAGATAGCAATCCAAAAACAGTCCAGTGGAGCCTGAGCGGTGGGTGTTGCCTTCTGACACACTTCTGGTGATGCCAGGGGGTGTGGCATATGCAAAAAAGTTATTCTAATGAGTTATGCTAATGAGCTCCTGCACCTCTTTTTCTACGAAATGACCCCTGCTCTGATCTAATACCTTTAAGTGATGTTCCTAGAATGTGAAATGGTACATCCCTTCACAGATCCAGGAGATAAATTCTAAGGGCGGAGGTGTGTGTCTTTATTAACAAATG